GTGTGTGTGTGTGTGTGTGTGTGTGTGTGTGTACAAGGGCGATTGCTACGTGTACAATACATGTGCGCGTGCCTGAGTCTTGCTCGAACGTGAGCAAGGTACATGAGCAAGATACAGAGGGTTGACGTTCGTAGCGTGATTTTACCCGAAGCGTGGCATGGAAAGGGATGATCATAGTCGATCTTCATATCGATTCTGCGACCCTGGTAAGTGGACGATACGCTTCATATTAACGTGTGGTATAGGTCAGGCCATCGCTTTCTAGAGTTGTTCTAGTCAGCGGCGTTCCTGGGTGTCGGGTGCGATATATGCCTAGACGAACAACTACTACGTACACCTCATCCATCACACCTCAACGTAGCAGTGTACAACGACAAGGGTTGTAATGTAATTAATGTGAAGCAGCGACTAGCTAATTAGGTGAGTAGTTGGCAGACTGGCAGCTTTCATTGCGTGGCTGGCGCTCGTTACAGTCGCTACCGATTGCAGTTTAGCCTCTGCCCACAGCTGCAACATCGGCGTAATGTACCGCGATAGCACCGAGCTGCCGTAAGCTCTCGCTCAGCCAGTTCTCCGTCACTGCTTCATCAGAAACTCACAGGCCGCTAGAGCAGAGTTCGGTTAAGGCCTTATAGACTTGCTCTAAGCTCTCATGGCTTGGAGAGCAAGTCACTTCAACGTTTTACAGACATTTGCACAATCCGTAACAGCAGCGGATTTCCTGTAGTTTTCTGTCTACTAGGTAGATGTAAGCTGAATGACGTGCCTATACAAAGCCAAGTAGGGTATTCTCGCTCACTTGATAAATTCGCAAGCAATTACTCGGCCCTACAATGTCCGCGAGGTTCCGAGCCAAGTGAGAAAGAGGTGACCTATCTATATATCTCAAGCTCTAGTCCATCTAGAAGTACCTCACTATCCTCACCCAATACATACCAACGCAAACCATACCATCAGAATTCGTTTACCTTAACAATACTTCCCAAGATGCAGTTCTTCAATTTTCTACTCGTAACTGCCATTACGGCTGCATCGGTCAATGCAGGGTGCTGCAATTTTGGAGGGAGTAATGGATGCGCAGATACTCCTAGTCGGTCCAATTGTGAACAGGCTGGCGGTTCATTCAGGGATTCTGCTTGCACTTCTCAATGCTAAACGTGAGTAGCCCAGCATTTGCTTGAACTCAAGATCTAACAGGCTTTATAGGCGACCTTCAAGCAAGCTGAGCAAGTCACCATGAAGTTGGTTTACGACATGCCAGTCTAAAGTTACAGTCTAAACAGAGGCGACGCAATCGAAAGGACAACCAGAACCGTGAGCCGATGACTAGATAAGTTCCATCACGCCCAGCATGAACACCAAGGGGGCTTCTCGCTAGATTACATAATTTCAGTACTCACAATGGAATCTGCAACTCCCAGTAGCCCACCCATTTCATCCTCGCTCAGTCTTTTCTTATACAATTGCAAGCATTTCAGTGTATAGAGACTATCTTGTATCGTGTTGTGTATTGTAACGATTCAACCTCGCAGCTCATCAAGTAGTCCACCATAGCCGAGATCCAAATAAGATCCAATTCGGATCCGTATCGGCAGGTATAAGTAAAAGCCACATCCCATAGTTGTTCAGTAGATAGTTGATATCCTTTCGTACAAGGCCTATATGTGTCTACTCGAATCAAGGCTGATTTGTTGTCCCACGGACTCCCGTGTGCCTCTGAGCGATACTACTGCCGATACTGATTCCGACTAGACTTGCCTGCGTCGTTCCACCCCTGTTCTCAGGTTGGCGTAAAAGATGTTGCAGCTGTGAGCAGGGGTGAAACTGCAATCGCTAGCGACTGGATCATGCGAGTTTGCCAATTCTCATCACAAGCTCATTTCCCACTTCATTTGCCGCTCAGCCCTGGCAGCCCTGCATTGACAGCAAAGGACCAACGGGTCCTCCCCGCCTTCGCTTGGAGCTTTTCGCGGGGTGGCTTCCTAACCATCATCTAGCATGCTGTCCGAATCTTCACCGTGCATTACCACCGGCACCATCGGACCCACATTTGCAACCTATCGCAACTAAGCTACTAGCTAGCCAGCACACCTTTTACACACGAAATGACTTGTGACAGGAAATGAGCTTTGCTGACGTTCCAACAATATCATCATTCTCGTTCGTTAATGGACCCTGCAGTAGATGCCGCAATGCTGTAAAGCGGAGAATCTCGGTTCCACCACTTAGAGTTTTGCCAGCAACCTGGTTCCTAGCAGCTGTCTCCTGTGGCGCGAACGCCTTTCCGCCCATGTGAGTGGCAGTTTGTGCCTTCCAGAACGTGGTTCGGCGGTGACGACGATTCATCGCACCTAAACGTTATTTTTTGTCGGTAGGCACATTAGGCACCGGAAGCGCGTTCTCCGCGTTAACGTCACGAAGGATTCGATGCTCCCCGGATTCGCACTCTACAAGCGCACACACTTTTGCAAGCCACGGTGTGGAGACATTTGCTGTGCTGTAGTGCGGCGGAGGGGAGGGCCAAAACGGCTGTGACCTGCATAGCACAGACACCTCGTGCCTGCGTCGAGCGTCCAGAATCATGCTACGGACTCACCGCTCCGTGTCAATCAGTGTTCTAGACAGTTAGAAAGGAGGTGGTGTGTTTTGATCTGATGCTATTCATGACCATCTCACCCAAGCAAGGCAGGTCCCTGGAGTACGAGTGTTTGGAGATCCCCCATGACAGCGCCGAACCCCGGGTTACTCGTATGCGAGATACACCGCTAATGCGCATCGAACCGGGGTATGCTTAGCGTCAACGCGAACACCAAGCCGTCACCCTGCACCTTGACTCGATACGGCCTGCTTCCGCACTCTAGCGGCTGAGCTGCCGATAAAGGCACCGAGGCCGCTCTCCGTCATGACACACAGCACTCAATACGGGCCTCCACTTCGACGCCGACACTAGGGTTCTGGTGTGGGCGTCTAAGGAAATCAACGGTACCTTGTCCGCAAGGTGGTGGTACTCGTTTGACGATTGTCTGGTCCATGTGGAGCTGACGGCACTTACTGCTATCGATTGCTCTTCTGAGAGCACCTGCTCAATTGTTATTGATGATATTATACATTTTTACATATGGCGGCCGTGACATTCGTTTTCCGTAGATCCTAGGCTGTGAAGCTAGCCTTCCTGTATTCCGACTCCTTCTGTTTTGCGCCGCGCTGGTTTTGGTTGCAAGACCCCGGACCGGACCAAGCCGGTCGATGATGAGCCGTAAATGATAGCTCTCGAAGCTACTACAAAATGTACTGTGAAATGAAGACACAACCAAATTTAAACCCTTGTGATGATCGTGGCACGGTCGTTCCGCGGTTCCGCTGTGATATTGCGGGAGTTCATACTTCGCCGCCTTGATTTCGGCGCAAGCGGCAGTAAGCTCAGGTGCTCTGTCCGCTCAAGAAAAAGTCCAGCTCGCTTGGACCGCCCCTGCTGACTTCGTTCTCGGCAAGTTGTTCCAGCAAGCTGAGGAAAGGGTCCTTGCTGTCAGGGTCTGTGTGCACCGATGTGCCCGATGTGCTCCCTGCGCCGGGGGTCGGGTGCTGCTCGTACGGCGTTGGCATGCTCAGCATAGGGTCGAAATGAATTGCATGGTTGTTATCCTGGTTTTGGTGGAGGTTCGCTGCACGCGACACCGGTGATGGCGCCAGACTCGCAAACTGCGGCAATGGAGAAAACGAGAAGTTCGGCGAGAATGGAAGAGCAAGTCCGCCACCGTTAGCATTCGGTGGATTCAGGGAGTTATTTGGCAATGGTGGGGTGTAAGGTCGTGCACCGGAGTCATTAGGATGTGTCCTAGAGTCTCCCGGGCTTGGGTTCGAGTTTGACTCCGAGGTACTAGCATCCGACGGTCGGTGAGTATGGACAGTGGGAGGATGAGTGGCTGATGTGGGTGTTGGGGGAATGGCTTGTGGTTGGGCCTGGGGTTTCGAGGATGAAGTCGTGGCTCTCCTTCTCTTGTTCGGGTGTGCGTTGGAGTATTGTGGTTGTTGCGAGGGTGCGGAATGCTTTTGGTAGCCCTGAGCGTTCCCGATGACGCCGCTGGTCATGTACATGTTGTTCCGTTGTTCGATGTTAAAAGTGGCAAGGCTACTAGTTTATTAGCGTTATGAACATATAGGGAATGGTCTGGCTCTCTACCCTTCTTGAATGGATTCGACCGCAATGTCCATAAACGTAATGTGCGCTCCGTCGAAGACCTGGCCCGGATATCTGTCGAAGAAGTCCTCAAGTTGGAAGACCGGAGCATAGCGCATGGGATTGCTCGCCAACGACTGGACTAGCTCTGTGTGACATCCGTAGATGGTTTGCAGCGTGTCGCGCTGGTGCTGGGCCCCAGCCCAAACAAAACGAAGCTCGGATAGCTGCTGCATCTCTCGAGACAGAAACTCTGCACTGACAGAGAAAACCTCTCCTTCTCTTCCTGGGTAATGTGCTCCATGTACATGAATGGTGCCAGCCGTGCATATACAATAGCCGACAAAAGCTGGCCAATCTATAATGGAGGAGGCCCTTCCTATCTCGGCGAGTTCGGCAATTGCGTTAGCATGAAGAAAGCATAAGTTGGTCGCTTCTATTTGCCAGGGTTGGTGCTGCGAGGTCCCGGACAGCTCAGCCAGGTCCACAGGGAGGAAAGGCCGGTAGATGAGGCAATGTATAAGATGGTAGATCAACTTGCTGAGAACAAGTATGGTGCTGTCGGGTTGGCCAAAGAGAGCTTCGATAGAGGTGAAAGTGTCCTGCGTCTCCGATGCCCATATGTCGAGCTCTTGGCGAATTTTGGATAGGTTGGATAATGAGTGCCAAGGGAAATGTGAATCGCCTTTAACACCACCCGCTGCAAGGTAGCGGTTTGTTATACCCAGGATGCGAGCTATGCCAATGAGCATACCCATGCTTCCTTGTCCACCTTTTCCAGTGCCGCCCATGAACTGCAAATTGCATCCGTTTGGAAAGTAGTCTCCGTCTATTAGCATTGCGCCAGAGTGCAGCTGCCAGCTCGGTAATCGTAGCACAATCGATTCATCCGCAATTAACGAGGGTCGCTTAGAGCCGGTTGCAGCGAAGCGGTCCATGAGGTAACATGACCAGAAGAGCCGGCGTCGTCCTTCGCGTTCGGCGGGTGTGACCTTGATGCCGGTCGGTAGTTCGCGATGCAGATCGAGCGCAAAGGCCATGCTGATGGCAGAATCTTGAGAGCGGAGTCAGTCTTGCGCAAAGTGTAGACAGTAGTGACTTCGTACTTAGCAGCATGAAGGTCTTCTTGCCTTTGCCCAGCTGGAAGCTTGCTTGCGAGAGGAGCATGAGCGTCTGCAAGGTTTCGATAGAGGGCTCATCTATCTCGAGTTCCAGCCGAGCGCGACGGGCATACTCTTGCCCGATGCGCACTGCAGAGCTGTATCCTCCGAAGTGGGGTGCATATCTGGGGTACATATATTAATTGTGATCAAGAATACTCAGGGATGGGCGAATCGTACCTGGCACTCACGGCGTAAATAGCATAGGCTAAGTGGCCGGGAAGCTGATTGGCCTGCAGTCGCTGTCTCGTGGTCGACTCGTCCAGGATGTAGTAGGGCTTTCCATGGATTCTGGCGAAATATGTGTCTAGAAGTAGGTCGGGAGCCAGGGTCGGGGACTGTATACTAGATGCTGTTAGCAATGTGCAGGGGCGAGAATGGCAGGCTGCTAGTAGGTACCTTGGCTCGATGGGCGACATCAACTGGTTTGCATGGTTGGTGCCACTCGCGCGACGGGGCGAGGACGCGTGCGGCGATTGTGAGGATGCGAGATCTTTTCGTTTGACGTCGGCTGAGGTGGTGTTGTCCTGGGAGGTGGGGTCGGTCTCGGTTGGGTCATCGCTCTTGCCTTCGGAAACCAAGCGCTTTTCCAGGCCGTCGACACGTTTCAAGAGGGCCTCGAGAACGTCGGTCTTGGGGCCTCTCTTCTTGGGAACAGCGTCTGGACGTGGCTGTCAGTCCATGTTTGGATGCACTCGCGTAGTGTTTCGGGTGGAGCATACCGTATATACACGGGCAGTTGAACACTTGACAGGCTTCACAGGTCGGCCGTGTACGATTGCACTTGATCTTGAATTTGGGTCAGCACGTGGGGACGACGAAAAAAGCAGACAAGCACCACCTTTCGCTTTCGACAGCTTTTGCAGTTCATGGCCTCGCGGGGCTCGTTGGAGACGCGGCGGGCGGGTAGTCGGTCGATGCCAATCTGGGGCCTTGCCATTGCGGCCAGTGACTGGGAAACTTCGGTGGACATGGCGACGCTACAGGGCAGTGGACCAGAAGCATTCTCTGGCTGCAAGTGATGTTGATGATGGCGAACTGGACGGTAGGAAGAAGAAAGCACGCCCCAGCACGGCGTGAGATGTAGGTTCAAATTAAGGCCTATGGCAGTGGAGACAGGCAGGGGGTGCGCGGACGGCGAGGCTTGCTCTGGCGGGAGTGCGCGCCCACTCGGATGCGACTCAGCGTGTGCAGTGACTAGGAAGAGGTAGTGATGGAACCGCTGGGGAGCTTTGGACGCGTGACGACGATCTCGGGGTATCTAGCCATGCGCGGTAGAGCAGCCCATGCAGACGAGCGAGGCTTGGAACCGTTGGGCCGAGTCGAGTAGCAAAAACACGGCCATCATGAGGCCACTGGGGTAAGAGGCTAGCCGCACGTCAGGAAATCGCCCATCGCATGCCGTCCCAGACGGCGCACCGTGCCTCGGTTCTCAGCCATGCAGCTACTGGCAATTTGGCACGTAGATTGCGCCCGTCGCACGCACCCAGCTCGTCTCGGCGTAGCTGCAGCCTGTAGCGCCGGACTGCACCAATGTGTTCTAGAAAATCCGGGGTATCGCCCGCCGCCCAATCACGTGCCCCGCCCTAGTGCTAGCTGCTGCCCCGTCCCCGGTTACAGCTTCCACGAGGGCCCCGTCCACCACCCGCCATCCCTGGTGCCACGGCTGCCTCGCTCCTGTCACGCCGCATGTGAAGACGTATCAATCATCAAATGTACATTGCGAATTGCTAATTGCTGATTTAAAAATGCCCCCTTCCGGACGCCAGACGCACAAAGTCATAACACACGTTCTGCCCCACGAGCTTCCGGATCGTTTCAACCGTCGTCCACGCTGAGACGTCCGCAATCCCATACGCTGTCCATCCCGCCGACGTCGCGATTGCCAACGGGTCGGCCTTTCGGGGTCCACTGGCCAAGTCGACGAACACCTTGCCTGCAGCCTTCGTTCCTGTGCACCCATGTCCGTTGGGGCTTCCATTCCTTCCGCCAACCCTGTAGTGCTTCAGCAGGGGCACCACCAGTAGCGACTTCTCAGCAGGCAGAGCCGAGATGATAACGAATGGCTGCTGCAGGCGCTTCACGTCCTCTACCGATCGTACCGGTGACACGTCAGTAGATAAGGGCCCGTGGGACTTGAACCCTATGGTATATATAGGCCCGATCCCTAGATTTTTCAGTGCAAATATCGACGCCGACGCATCAGCCTCGTTACTGGCGAGCAGCAATGCTGCCTGTCCACTGTACGCCGACGGGACAAAATCGCGAGTCAGTGTCGCACGTATACCCTTCCACCGCGTGTTGTCTCCTATGAAGGAGGCGTTACCGGTCCCGGGAGGCACTAACACTGTATCAACTTGTCCGATGGCCCGAGCAGCATTCGAAAGGGAAGGCAGGTACGGCGCCGAGGCTGCCAACGGCGGGTTGATGTAGGCACCGCCAAAGTTGTTGCGTCGGAGGATGTGCTCAATCGAAGCCTTCGGAGCTCTTTCTGCAAAACCGAACGAATGTGGCAGACTAAGCTCGTTGAAACACTTCTCAAAGAACATGGCTTGCGACGTTGATCGAAAACTGCCGATGCCGTAGATGTCCTGCTTAGGCATCTGGCCCATTGTGTGGAGCGCTGCGTTAATTTCGGCTGCGCTTAGTTGGCCAGGCGCCGCAATCATGGGTAACAGTGGATGAGTAATCGGGGTGAATATTTTGTTCAGCGTCCTTGATAGCTGGCCCATGGGGCCCATATTGAGGCCAGAGAAGGGAGGATGAGGATACTTGGCTTGAATAGTTGACCGGAAATATTCCAGCTCGTAGTTCTCCTGCATCGAATTGACCAGTGCGTACATCTTGACAATGTCCCCATACACCGCTCCCATCTCGAACAGGCGCTGTGTTTCAGGCGAGGTCCACTTGAAGCTGCCCGAAAAGTCGTGGAACGCCGAGATGATCTTGGTGCACGCCTTGTTCTCGGCCAGCTTCCTCCTAATCTCCTCTGGCAGCCACAATTCCACATCAATGTATTCGCAACCCCATTGTATCGCGCGCGCAAGGTATCGGTAGAACAGGGAGGGGTCGTCCATGGGGAACCGGCCATTTTCCTTGGTGCACCTCGTAGTGAAGATGATTGGCAGCTCCGTGCGTTGACGCAGCACCATGACCTGCTCGCCGACATACTTCAAGCTGGGTATCTTGCTGACCGTTCCATCTGGTAGGGGCTCCTCCAGCAGGTCGACTCGGATCTCGATGGCGTCCGCGCCGACCGACAGAATGTCAAGATTGGGAAGTGCAGCGTGCACATCGGGGAACGTCGTCGATATCAGCGTCGTGCGCGCCTTCTTGGTGAGGTCGCGGTGGGGCCCGATCTGGCCCAGGACAAAAGAGAGGTATCGCGACACGTCGCGACGGAAAAAGGGCGCGCGCGTGTAGAGGTATTCGTAGTCGCAGCGGTCGGTGATGCTCTCGTCCAGTTCATGACCGCCGTCCACTCGATGTGTGTTGACCAACAGCCTAGAGCGGTCCCAAGCGTCCAGTTGCGTTTTGGCCAGCCCGCTGCTTAGCCCGTAAACCGTCTCCCGTGGTCCTGCCAGCGCTTCGTCCATGGATGTCGCCGACTCCCATTTCTGGCCCAGGACATCCGCAAAGATGCCTACAATGTCCTCCTCGCCTTCATTATGCAGGATCAGCAGCGCCGGCCGGGCGCCGTTCGGGATCTCCTGCACGTCTATGACCGCGCCTTCCTTGAGACGGGAGGTGGTCACGCTCCCGGTTTGCACCATGGTGGCCATGGGTGAGTAGAGTTGTGCGCTGTTCTGCTTAGTAGTGTTAACCGTACGTGTTGAAGCCGTTGATGCGATGCTGGATCTCGGCGAGAATGCGACGGGCGGTATACAACTGGCGGACTCCGGCAACCGTCGCTACCATTTCCGAAACGTCGAAAAGTATGAGGCGGTGGTGGGGGCTGTGTCTGGAGAAATACAGACGTCTCAGACTGAGCGCTGTAGATTCATCCGTGGGGTGGTGGGATGCAGGACCAGGTCTGGATTTAATCGCGATGTGTGTGAGGTTTGAAGATAGTGAGATAGTACCATGTCAAGAGCAGGTGGAAGCACCAAGCTTCCGTAAAACCCGCGCGTCTGTTGGCTCTAAAGCCGTCCTATGGCTGGACGGTGAATATGCCGTTAGGAAGGCCACTAGGCGTTGCTTGCTCGGGGCAGTAGGATAGTGAACGGACCAGCGCGGGCACCGTGGTGCGCTCGCCGATAGCTGGAGCTCGAATTTATCCGTAGACTCGCCATACCGTCGCAAAAGCCGCCAATTTCGCACCAATCATCTGATTTGCCATCAGTCAAGGTATTCGTGCGCCAAGTATATCACCTCCATCGCCTTCGTCTATTGCTGACGCGAATCTGTGGGGATTGGTGGAGAATGGGGGGTAGCGTCTGTCGTAGTGACATCCAAGGCCTGAGGCGACAACCGAATACCATATCTACGCCTCGAGGCTTGAAATGCCCAGCAACAACACCACAGATACGAGCTTGGTACTCGGATAGGCGTATATCGGTACTCCCTATAGGCGCACCGCTTGTGCGAGGCTGGCTCTGGAACTGCACGAGGCTGCACCCGCAATACAGTGGAGGCGTCGCATCGCAAACTTCAGCCCTACCGGCTTTACCATGAGCGGCATCCCGCGCTCGAAAGTAGTGGAGTAATGGGCCACCGGCGTATCTCGTGTAGAGACCTGTGCCCGCAATCTCTCGGAAAGAGAAGGAAATTTGCACAAGTGGTGTTATTACCCAGACATCGACCAGAAAACTGTGCATCCGCTACAGCTATCGACAACCTCCGTGGACAGCATCGGCATCATGTTTCCTACACGCAGCTCAACATGTCATCAAAGGGCAGTACCGCAATATACCAACATTAGGCTCGGCACCAGTTGAGGCTCCGTTTCATCACTACGACTTTAGCCGGCAACCTGGAGGAGGCGTAGGTGCAGACGGTCTAACGAGACCTCGATCGCCTCGTCAACGTCGGGTTTGGATTTTCCGACACCAAAATGCAGTGCAACCTAGGTCCACCCCACCTGCTGGAGCATTACATCGTCGATATCTGATGACTAGCTCATCATGACACTGGTTTCTCGCGATCGGGACGTCACGAAGGCCGGGAATACGTTCAGGCCAGTATGGAGGCAGCGAGAGGGGTCGCTGCTTTTCGGGTCTTCGCGCAGTTTCGGCGAGATACCTATCAACCGCTGCTGCGAGGTGAAGCAGATTGATTGATTCACTTCGTTATTCTTCAGCCGTCCGGTCTTGTCCAGGTATCAGAACGGATAAATACAACGAAGTTCAAACATGAACGGGACGCCTTAGAACATCAGCCGTACTGCAATTTTCCCGTCAAAGGAACATATCTAATCGTGGCCACCAAATAGACGACCTTCCAGCGTACATCATGAACGACGCAGCTTTTTAAGCTTCAGCAGCCACCGGCAATCGGTCATCCACATGGTACAATCTCTGAATGCGCTGTTTTCGTATCCTGAGTACGAAGCGAATCGAGCATCCTTTTACGTGCCGCTCTCACCAGTACGCACGCTTGCGCCATACGAACAGCTACTGCTGCCACGAGCCGTACCGAATTAGCCAAGGGTATCTCATCTCTGTGAAATAGAACCGAGTAGGCTCATAGACACGTAGTTCGTCAAAAGGTTTGTTGTGCGAACGGGTGTATATGTCAAGGATTTGAAAACTCCTTCTCCGCTGGGTATCCGAGTCCATGTAACTGCTAATCTACCGCACCCAGTTTCTCCAACACACTGGCTGCGTTCGGCCGACAGCCTGGGTCGATCTCCAGCATGTCTTTTATGACATGAACGAGTTCAGTTTCAGTCCGCCCAAGCTCATCTAGAGCAGCCGAAACTGCCTCAGTTCTCGTCACATTCCCATCCTCTACAGTGTAATAGCACCAAGCTACGCTCTCTTCTTCCACCTCGGAACGAAACTCCTTCAGAAATTCCCAGCCTTTCCAATACCACACCAAAATGTCGAGGAAGACACATCCTAGCGACCAAATGTCATGTGGACGAGAGCTTGACCCGTTATTGTACGTCTCCGGTGGCAGCGTTGGTGTGTTGCCTTTGATCTTCGATTTTGCACTACGTCCGGTCGCATCGATACACCCGGCATAGCCTGCGGAGCCGAAGTCCGTGAACTTCAACCTGTGTTTCACGTCAGCGGCAGGATCGTTGAATACTATGATGTTGGTAGGCTTGATATCGTGATGATGGTATGTCATTTGACCGTGAACAACGTCTAGAGCACTCGCAAGGCCCCGGAGCTGTTCCGAAAGCCACTCACGATCCAGATCGTCGACAGCCCGGCGTTCAGGGTACTTCGCCATGAACTCGTCTACACTGCCATCCGCTAGCTCAGCGATGAGGTATATCTTCTTCTCGAATACGAAGCCAGTGTAGAACGTAGTGATGTGCTCGTGGGGACCGGAGAACCGGGCAAGACTCTCGAGAAAATCGCATTCCCGTTCAGCATCTTCCCGAAATTTGCTGACTTTGAGTGCAAGGTATCTAGACCAGTCATCAGGGCCCTGGTCCTCCCGTAAAAAGGGAGCACAGCTGTTGTGGATTCTGGCTTTGTAGACTTTCCCTCCGGAACCTTCGCCAATGTCGGGTTTGACACCTCTGTTAAATTCGATCGGAATGGCATAACCCGTGAGATTGGTCCTGTATTGAGATCTGTGAAGTTCAGGGACAGTAAAGAGATGTTGCGCGTCGCAAATAGTACTGTAGACCAAGTCTGATTGTTCTTCGGTCGTTCCAAGCCAGTCGTCTGGCGAGAAGGGAAGGGCATCATCATTGCAGTTTGTCAAGACGAAAACCATGTCAGGTGGTGAGAGACCGCAGTAGATAGCGAGAGCAAACAAACGCTCACCGCCTGACCGGATCCTATTCTTCAGTCCGTACACCGTGTCGGTGTCAAGCCCGGAGAAGTGGAAAATACCACTGACGCTGCTTGCAGAAGCAACCTCGCGGATGGTTGTCAACGGAAAGAATTCGAATGTCTTGTCGCCGAATTTTGCGGTGGTAGTGTTGGTTACCAGCCGGGTCCTATACGCTGCCATTATATCATTGTAGTTCTTTAGAGGCTTTCCCATAATGAAACAGGAGAGGTGCGATAGAACAAGAAATGAGATATTGGAGAGGAGATGCGTAGCATCCAGTGGGCTTCTTTATGACCTCTATTATTCAACAATCACCAAACACCAAGTCTGCACTCATGGTGAGCTCACATGGATCTGAAGTGATTGTTGTTTGTGGGTGAATGAGAGTCTGATTACGCAAGTGAAGGTGGTATTCCATCGAAGTACTGATTATGTGACCTGTTAGACGCTCGCGATCATAGAAACGGATATTTACAGTACTGGAGAGAAGTTGGCGTGCCTATTACTCACAAGAGTCATGATCGTATGGAGGATATAGTATTCAAGTTGAAGATTTGTGAACCTGCCATTGCCGTAAACCAGAGCTGCACGGACAAAGGAAACATCTCAGAATGAACGGGTTGAGACTCACCATAAAAGTGCTTGATCTTTGAGCGACTTCCAGAAATGCATCTCCAAGAGTTCTCGACCTACTAAGTGTCTAAGAGGCTGCCCAGAGCAGTGACTACATCACTTGCTCTGTTAGTATTCACCACGTCCACTTGTAGCATTTGGCCAATGATATCGACCACGGTCTTCCACTCAGCGCCTCTATCGCCAATCTCTTTCATCTTCTGCTGCACGGTACGTGCAAGCCTCATCCCACCTGGACCAGTATCATTCCAACGGTATCGGTGCTGCTCCACGAAGTCACTCATCTTGACCTCACCCTCGTGGAACCATACGAGTACTTCCAGAAAGGCCAACCCTAGGCACTCGATGTCACGAGATACTGCGATGTTCCAGCCACGGATGACCTCCGACGGTTTGTGTTCATTGTAGGTTCCAATAATCGGCTTGTCGCTTGCTTGTTCGCTTGATGCTTCACTGGTTTCTTCATTCCGTTCTCTATCAGTCATTCTTGCATAACTCCAGCCGCAGAACTTCAGGATACTGTCTTGCAGGTTCAGATCGTTCTTGGCGAAGACCAGGATATTGTCGAGTCCAATGTTGCGGTAGAGCCCGTTATTACCTTTCGTAGTAGGCCCGTGTATCTTTGAGAGAGCGTCTGCAAGGCCCATGAACTGACGAACAACCCAGACATAGTCAAGACCTGCTTGAGCGCCGTCAGTATACTTCGTCATGAACTTTAAAAGGTTTTCTGAGCCGCGCTCGCTGACGACGTAATGTGTTGTCCTGAACTCAAAGCCAGTGTAGGAAGTCACAATATGTGGATGTGAGATGTTGTCATTGGCAAGCGCTTGGAGGAATTTGCGGTCCGTACCGCATTCGGTTGCATGCGAATATGCTTGCTTGATGACGAGATCTTGGCCTGGGGGTAAAGGGAAATTAGTTCCGGGAAACATGATCTGCATCTCGTAGACGTTCGACCGTAAGCTATCGTACAGGCGACTTTTGACGGAGATAGGGACAGTGTGGGCTTCATCGATTTGCTGATGAAATCGTCCCTGTGTTGGCATCTGGGATAGACCTTCCAGTCGGAATTGGGCGCGGAGGAAGCTTGCGAGGTAAGGTGAATTTGCAAATCCTGAGGTGACCCTCTTCTGTGCTACGGGAAGTTCAGAGTCCGTAACAAGATCTTCTTCAAGCAACACCCGGAGATACTTTATTGATGGTATGCTGAGGAATATATGCGAGCTTTGCTCCGCCGAAGTCATATTGTATGATGTTTCCACTGTCGCGGAGCCAATGGGAAGACCATGATGTTGCAGAGGAGTCCTGCCGGGGACAAAGACGCATGGGATGAAAAACCATGTGAGGATGAGGGTGGTAGAGGCCTACGAATCAGGTTCGGGTGAGCTTGGCAGTAATCCTATCGAACGCTGGGAGGCCACACTCACTGTTGATATCCTTGGACAAGTTTATCAAGTGACCGTGTTCCTCAAATGTGCATATCAGTTGACAATCGCACGTGAGTAAAAGACGTGATCTGCCGGTCACACGCTGCTAACACACATGAGCGTTATGAGGGTAGCAAACCGAGTATAGATCAAGTAGATCAAGTTCAATGCTAGCATCCTCGATTGCCAATGTTTACCATGGGAACGAGGTTTCCAAATGATGGCTCGTTGCTTGTGTATTGTTTCGCACATACCCACGAAGAAGGTCGGATATTGTCTTCCTAGATATGAGACGCATCACGAGGTCTTGTAGCCTGTCGAAGGCACGCCCTCCTCTGGAACGAACAGTGTGATGCAGACCATCTGATGGAAGTTGACGCGACGGAATTCATTGTGGCGATAGTAGTGTCTACATTCGCTGAGGTCTAAAGGCGTTAGTTAACATGCACCGTGAGTCTAGCCTTGGGATTATTGGCCATCGCGAAGCCCCAGTGTGTAGACAGTCTTTAGTGAGCCGACATTTCGTCAATAGTACCTAGCGTTGATCATCTGCCATGTGCTTTGTATTTTCACATCGTGGCTACTATTCGGTCGATATATGGAGGAGCCAAAGTGAACAAGGACGAATGGGAGGTTGGTGATTCAGCGGCCTTGGCGTTGTGACCTCATCCAAAACTTCGGGTGCGGCGAACAGCGGAGGTGATCGCTTCACCCGAACTTCTCCCCTACACCACTCCAACCACCCATGATGTTTGCAAGACGCGCAATTCCCTCGGTAAGCTCCTGAAACGTACGTCTAAGTATAAATTCAATCTGACGGTCACCAGGCCTTCCGAGCCGCCACCCGCGCCAGCACAGCTCGACCCATCCCCTCGGCACGATTCCTCACACCGTTCCAAGCACGATTACTCTCCGATGAAGTCCGGTCTGCCATCGACAAGGCTGTCGCATCATCGCCTGTTGTTCTGTTCATGAAGGGTACACCAGAGACACCACAATGCGGCTTCTCGAGAGCCAGCATACAGATTTTGGGCATGCAAGGTGTAGATCCGGAGAAGTTCACAGCCTTCAACGTGCTGGAAGACCAGGATCTGAGGCAAGGTACGTTTTCACGGTTCCCACACCGGTTTGGCCACATGGCCGTAGGACTCGAGCCTGCAGCGCATTTCGGGTGGCTGCAGGATGGGCAACGGGGCATTACATGCTGACAAATTCGAAAAGGTATCAAAGAATACTCCGAGTGGCCAACCATACCGCAACTGTACGTTGACAAGGAGTTTGTCGGTGGCTGTGACATCCTGATGTCGATGCATCAAGATGGATCGCTTGCAAAGATGCTGGAAGAGAAGGGTGTAGTTGTGCCAGCCGAGGGACAGGCACCCTAAGAGGTAGATAATACAACGGCGAATAGAAGAGGCGCATGGAATTTATGCCACACATTATCGCTTTGGTTGCGAATGTCTAGCCAGCTTCTGTCACCCGTGTAACAACTATATGTATACATACGAAGAGCAAGACACGCATGAACTTCATGGCTGGGATGCCTGATATACTTCAAATCACACACTATTTGAAGGGGAAATAACCAATTCCTGCCCTTCTATGATGTGGCTAATATGAGTGCTCTTTCCGTTGTCACCACGCGCCTTCCTCAACGGAGCCGGAACAACCCACAAGCTTTGCGTCTGCACCAAAGCTCGACTTCACCTCTTTCAGTACTCGCAACGCGTCCTCGACACCCCCAAACACAGGTAGCTTGAATGGAGGTCGAGCGCGACGTACCTGAACTGCGGGCGCGCGGCAACATGGGCCCACCGGCGAAGAAGACGGTATCCGCTGCTGCCGTTTTCAGGAACCAGGGTGCTTTCAGGGAACAAGGCAACCTCACACGTCAGACGAATATCAGCAACTCCAGGTTCACCAGGGACGATGCTGACGCTACCACATTGCTGAGCGCCGGGTCTCACTCAAGCGTAGAGAAGAGAGTAGTGAGAAAGAGTTCTTCGAACATGCATCCTCTAGGCGTAGAATTCAAAGGTACAGCTAAGCTCTCTCATGTGCTGAGCACAGACCGCTAATATCATACTGCACAGATGCCAGCGATAAGTACCGTCGCCATCTCTACAAGACAGCTTCTTCCAGGATCAACAAGACCCTGGAAAAGCTTCTTCATACCCTCTACGAAAGTACCCTGCAGACCGTTACTCGCAACAGTAACCAAAAGGACCTCATTAGCTCGCCCCTCAAGATTTCTGCCCCAGCAAAGTACGAGCGCCTAGCCACTCAGCTCTACCAACCCATCTCTCAGTTCACCCTATCACTTAGGCGCACTGACAGTGAGGGAAAGAGTGTACGTCTTGATCAGACACTTGAGACTCGCATGATCCACTACGATGAGTTGATCACTAAAGAGACGGCCAAACTAGCGAAGTTGCAGAAGGAGTGGGAGGTTGTTCTCGGCGAGATCTGGAAGCTAGGAGCGGCATGTCTAGGCAAGGAGGCTATGGAAGATATGCTATTTACCAAGCAGCCATCGGACGGATCGGTCTTACCTGTTTCATCTTCGCCATCGAAAGTCACTGAAGCCGAATCCACGCTCTTCGTTTCCGAGCACGAGAGTTCTCCAGCACAGGACAAGTCTCGTACCAACCGGAAGCGCGTTACCTTCCTCGAAGAAGAAATATCAACAAACGTCCGTGACAAAAACGCCGTCATTCCAACGACCATGTTTCCAAAGTTCATATACCAGCCCTCGAGGTATCGCAAGGACACCCTGCCTCTTCCAACAAGGCTCCCTGATGATGACATCGAAAACCTAGACAAGAAGGTGAAAGAACTGGGCAGGCAAGAATTGAGTGACATGCGTGAAATTGAAAAGGAACATCAGGCGTACTGGAAGAAGAAGACGGCACAACTTGCTGTTGCGCTGAAGAGTGACTGAGTGTGCAGGCCGATGCGTGTTCGAGGGAGAAAAAACTCACTCCAATGGCCTGAGCGCAAGCAACTATGATGGCTTGGAAGCTACAGACTATCTACGCAATATGGGCATGCCAGCTGCCACATGAGTCGCGGTATATGGGGTAGCTTCAGTTGAAGTGAATTTTCTCTCATCTACGTCCATCGTCACAACGCAACTCAGCCAAATTCCCAAAACACGACGGAGAGGGACGATGTTCACAACGTCTTGTTCGTATACTGTATTTCCAAAGTCTACAAAGCATGTAACAATAAATGTATAACCTCCAAAAGTGATCTAGCGCATGCTGCCTTTAACTAAAGCAACGGTCTAATAGTCTAGATGGATATCTCTGATTCAAAGTAACCCCCAATGCTTCTCTCCCAATCTCGCACAGACTTAGTCGAACGAGCTCTTGAAGACGTAGCGCTGGTCCTCAGGCTGCTGGAACGGTACACCGAGCTCAAACAGAGTCATGACGCTCTCGGAAAAGTCCTTGAAGAAAGCGTCGTTGTCCTTGGCGTACAGGTCGGTGTACTTCCTGAAGCTCTTGTCCTTAACAAGCTCCATATCGGTGGGCAGCATCATCAAGCTCTTGGTCTTGACATCCTCGAACTGCTTGGGGCCGTTCCACTTCTTCCATGCCCACTTCTCCTCGACAAGGAGCTTGTAGTAGTCGTTGGTTAAGGTGGTGGGAGAGAAGGTCCAGGGGCCGTCGAAGCCAGAGCGGTCAGTGTGGCAGCGACCTAGGGCGTGTGCACCGGAAAGGGCGACCATGGCGCGGTCGTCGAAACCCATGCGGCCGAAGATGGCGCGGATGTGGCTGGAGTCCTTGCTGGCGTCGGGCAGACGGCCGTCGGGTGTGCAGAAGGAGACATCACGGTCGGTGCGGCCAGCGCGGTATGGGATCTTGGGGCCCTGCATCTCTTGGATGGCGCAGACACCGGCGAGGATCCACAGATCGGAGTAGGTGATCCATGGGAAGGCCTCCTTGACGGGCTCGAGGAAGTCGCGGGCGGCCTTGAGACCAGCGTTGGCGCCGTGGTCACCTTCGGGGGCGAAGCGCATGGTAGCGCCGTTGGAACCACCAGTTCCTGTCATCTTGTCGAAGCTGTTTTCTGTCAGTCCATGTGTCTGGTAGACAAGAGAGTAGAATACTCACGTTCCCGAGGCGTGCCATGCAAGGCGAAGAAGAACGGGACCGTAGCTGCCATCATCGTAGTCGTCGTGCTCTTCAAGCCTCTTGGCGATGTGGTTGTAGACCTTCTGGTAGTCCTCAAACCTGGGTGTGAAGATCTTCCTGCTGTTGGTCTGGCCGAACAACTCTGGCTTGTATGTGTAGAGGCCGTATACACCAGCACCGACAAGGAGAGCGCCAGCGCCCCAGGCTAGGCCCGTTGGGTTGCCCTCATGCTTGTCTGGTCCATCCTCCTGAGAAGCGTATCCGCGTCGTTGGTTGCGGAAGGCGTTCTGTGTGGGCGCGACGAAGCGGGCAGAGGAGCGGGTCGAGGTGGTGCGGAACGAGGGAGCGGCGGTGCGCAGGGCGCGAGAGAAGTTTCGCGAGGCAGATGCCATTGTGCAGACGGTGGATGGGAGATCGAGTCGGTCGAGCAGAACAATTTGTGCAACAGCTGGATGTCTGTTGATAGGCTACTTGTGGAGCAGTTTGCCTCTTAGAAGGTCAATTGAGAGTAGCACAAAGGCAGGAAGGTCAAAGAAAGTGAAAACACAAACGCGAATAGGGCGTAGGCACGGGAAAGCTTTTAAAGATAATGTTTCGTTGCCTCGGACTCAGATGGCGACAATCTTTCTGGAAACAACGGCATCGACCCACTTTGATAGCCTCTGCACCAATCAGACGCATTACGGGGCATAATCGTCTGGACCCTTGGGATTACGATATCTGATGCCGCCGCGACACTTTTCCGATCGTGAAGCCATTTCCGCCGATTGGGTTATATAATCCACGCTTCTAGCAGATGACGGTTTCGAGTTTGAGACTATCAGGCAGGGAGACCCGTGGTTTTGTAGCTGCGCGGGCTGGGCTTTGTCCTCGTGCATAAGCCGACTTCCACGCTCTGTGATTCGCTGTGGTGGCGTCGATCGACGCAGGCCAGCGAGCGAGATGAGGGGTACCTGATGAGGCTCTGCGGCATCTTTGTCTGATATCCTTAGCAGTGGATATTGCCACGCTCGACACGTGGTGTTACAGACGATGTCTGGTGTCTCGTCGCTGCTTGCTATCCTGGGTAGGACATGGTGGCCAACCAGAGCTTTCGTGTACTAAGCCACCGGAAATGACTCGTGCCATGCCCACATGCCGTTGCTCTCCGATGAGCGGCGTGAACGACAAAAGTGGGTGCATCGCTCGAAGAGGCAGTTTTATCGATCCAGCTGTGGTACCTCACTGTCCTCGGCGCAGGTATTTGTCAAGCAAAATTTCGATTCAATTATATCCAGGGCGTACGATACGTATCGGTAATGAAAAAGAAGCCAATACAGTTAACGCCTGCTATCCTTTGTCCTTCAATGCAGTTCCCAGTCTTGATAAACGCCTTGCAAAGAAATGCTCACTTGGGTTTGTGTGCGTGAAGAAGCCAGAAGCCATACCAAATTTCCAACTCCAGTGCCATGACATTAATGCAATCATTACCCGAAACATTAGCTTTCTCGCGTATTACTCGTCCCAGCGTGAACTCTTAAGAAAATATGATCAGTACATGCCATTGTGCGGAGGCATACCCATGATCATGCCGAGATACGGCTGCGTGTGCGGGTAACCATCCAGGCTGCCGGTAGGCGTAGAGATGCCGGACGTCGATGCCGTTGCCGGCCGCGATTCTTCCATGTTTCTCTTGGCCGCATTTTCGGCGGCTTCCTTTACGATCTTGGGCTTGAGAAGATCCCAGGAGGTGCTGTTGGGGTCTTTGGGGATGGTAATGGCACGCTTGTATGCCGGACACGCTTCTAGCTCTTTGATACTGATGGGTGGATCGAGTTGGGACGCCTTTTCCTTGAAGAAGTTCTTGCGCCGTAACTTCTTTGCAGTGTAGTCAGAAGTTCTAGCCGTGCGTTGCATCTCTTCCCACTGCTCCATCTTCTTTGCAAACATCTGGCGCTCTTCTACCTTCTTGGCCTTGTCAGCAAGCCATTCAGTCCACCATGTAGCCGTCTCTTCTGTGTTGGGGTCCCTCTCTCTGGACTCCTTGTGGAACTCGGCAACGAGCTTCTGCACGTCTGACCGCAAGTAGATGGTCTTCAGCGCATGCGTACTCGCTGGTCCCACGCCGACAAAGTTACCCCATGAATCGAAGATGCCACTGGGCAAGGCAGCGCGGATATAGGATACGTCTTCGCCGTTTGGACCTCTCAGCTGGGCAACAGCATCGTATTCCCTGATGACTTGGGTGTTGAGACAGTCTTTGCACATGCGGCGCAGGAAGGCCCAGAAGGTCTTGCGAGTGTTTGGGGCGCCGCAGTCCATACAGCCATGCCCATGGCGCAAGTGGGCGAACTGGAACTCGGTGAGACCTGGAGGTGGGTCCGGCATGTCGGTTCCGTAATAGTAAACCCTGCTATGCTTCCAGAGCATGGGGTTATCCCGCAAAAACCGGTAGCATGAGGCAATCTTGCTACGCATCTCGAGCAGCTGCGCAGGGTCCGAGTAGGACAGTATGATGAACCAGCAGTCCAGATCGACGCCTTTGGACAGGATCTTGCCCCTTCGTAACCTCGTCGGCTTGCGCTGCTGCCACTGCTGGTTAAGCAGTGGACGGGCCGGTGCCGCAGTGAGTGGAGTCGCATCGTTTCCGAAAGAGGCGGCCGGGTTGCCCGCCTGCTCAGAGTCCTTCCTGGACTCATCGCCCCGCTTGCGCTTCAAACTGCCTTCGACCATGGCCAGCGGCACATTGTGGGATCGCACCTCGTGCGCCAGCCCCGCGCGCTTCCCGCCTGGCCGCCGGCAGTTGATTACGGTGGCATAGGCCTGGTCTGGCGTCTGCAAGAAGGGAGTCTGCTTGTTGACGGTAAAGGCGACATATTTGGCATTCACCATCTCGGGTCAGCAGGCCAGCCGCTCGGGGTATCGTCGACGGGTAACGGGTCGCTCGCAGTCACACTTCCACGTCGTGGGTCGGGCCTGGCATGCGGTGCTGGGAAGATGGCGAGATTGAGAGTGCAGGGTCGAGAGGCTGAAGGAGAGGAGGCACAGGGAAAGGAGTGTGGACGACGCTGAGACTTCCGCGCGCCCAGGCTTGAGTTGATGTCGGCTGCCGAACCAGCTTGCCCGACCAAACCAAAACTACAAGGTTGGCCCTTCGGATATAAAACCTGGCCTTTGCTCAGCGACCGCCGACACGCCCTTCACCACCATGTCGACAGTCCCCAGTTGACATCAGCCCAGACAGTACCTGGCCGAAACAACGTCTGCAGGTGGAGTTCTGCAACTGTTCCGACAATGCCATGCGGAAAGATGCGCGCTTGCTATTCCGCATCAATACGTGCCGACGCATCTTTTCCCTTTAGGCCCGGCGCCACACTGCTGATCACATGGTTACATCACACGCGAGGCGCACGCTTACGGTCCTTTTCCAGCAGGTTTGAGCCGGCCAATGTCGCCTGTCTTTTTGCTTGTTCCAAAGCCGAGCGGTCGACGATTAGTTGCACGCCGTGTTTGCGCCATGTCCTTGGGTACCCGTGACTTCGCGCTGGCGACCGGCAGCGCAGCTTCCTAATGAGGACCTCCATCGCTTACGCATGCATGGGCAAACAGCCAAAGCCAGAGATGCGGGGTTGGCGAGCGTCGACGATGCGAGAGTGGTCAGATTTGTGCTAGGGTACCAGCGACCTCGGCCTTCGCTGTGACTCCATTTCACTGTCCGCTTTCCAGGATATATTACGTTCGCTCCCGCCTCTGCAAGTGCCATGCAAGTGTGAATTTGGCATCGGACCTACTCCCGAACACTAGGATAGAGTCAAGCCCACCGACCGTCGTCATGTTCGGAAGGAAAGAGAGTAAGTCGCCGCATTCTGCTAAGCTGGCCCCGATGACTCCCGCGGAATGCTTGACGTATCTTGTCAGCTGCAAGCTCATCGTCAGCTTCATGTCGCATAGATCATAATCGCATCCCCCTACGCTCTTCGTCATATATACAGAGTCGTTGAAATATACTGATCATTCGCAGAAGACGTGCCGTCTCCGGACGTGGACAAGACAGATCCAATTCCTCACTATGACAATACCTACGACGACGACCCGGCGCTTGTCCCATGTCCGCCCAACACCACGGAGTCCAAACTCGTGACCAAGATCGATCTCCATGTCATTCCCTTCCTCTGCATCATGTATCTCCTGGCCTTCCTGGATCGTGTCAACATTGCAAACGCAAACGTCTTTGGCCTCAGCGAGGAACTTGATCTGGCACGAGATAATCGTTACAACACTGCTCTGGTCATCTTCTTCGTCCCCTACATCCTCTTCGAGATCCCGTCCAATGTCCTCCTCAAAAAGATGAAACCTCGCGTCTGGCTCAGTATCTGCATGTTTGGTTTCGGTCTCGTTACTATGCTGCAAGGTTTTGTGCAAAATTACTCTGGCCTGCTTGCGACTCGATTCTTCCTCGGTGTGTTCGAGACAGGCATGTTTCCGGGTGCCTTCTACTTGATTGGTATGTGGTACCGTAGACACGAGGCGCAGAAGCGGTATTCGTTCTTCTTCAGTTCAACGACTCTGGCCGGGGCCTTTGGTGGACTGCTAGCTTCTGCCATTGGCAAGATGGACGGCATGCGCGGATATCAGGGTTGGAGGTATGTTTCGAGCGTGCATTTGTGTTGAAAATCATTGACTCTGGCAGATGGATCTTCATTCTGGAAGGACTCTTGACCGTTCTGGTTTCGTTCGCTTTCTTCTTCCTGCTCCCAAACTTCCCGGAAGAAGTGAAGTGGCTCTCGGAACCCGAACGCGCGTTTGTCAAAGCCAGACTTCAAATCGACCAAGGACGTTCCGCACGTGAACGACCTATCAAGGCCAAGGACGTTGTAAATGTGTTCAAGGACCCCAAGATCCTCATTGGCGGACTCATGTACTTCGGCTTGATCGTACCTGCCTATGGATACGCCTACTTCTCTCCCACCATCATCCAGAGCTATGGCTACTCCAAGATCCAGACACAGCTACACAGTGTTCCTCCATGGGCCGCCGCTTTTGGTTTCTCGATGCTTGTCGCATGGTTCTCGGACAGGCTCAAACACCGATTCCTTTTCACCATCTTCCCCATCGCTGTGTGCATCGCTGGATTCGCTATTCTGATTACCGTACACGACAACCATGACCTGCAGTATGGAGCGCTCTTCCTTGTCGCCATGGGAGCCTACACCGCCATGCCGGTCATTGTATGTTGGTTCAATATGAACTTGGGTGGCCACCACCGTCGAGCTGTAGGAAGTGCATGGCAAGTCGGCTTTGGTAAGTTAACGACCTCTCATAAATATCTGAGGTATCGAATGCTAATCCAACACAACAGGTAACATTGGTGGTATTATCGCCGTCTACTCTTTCCTGAAGACAGACGCGCCCAAGTATACGCGGGGATACTCAATCAGTATCGGCTTCGTGTGCCTCAGTGCACTAAGTTGCTGCGCGTACTTTGTCATGTGCAGTCTCTCGAACCGAAAGAGGAATAAGAGCGTCAGGGATGTGGGGTTGACGGAGTATGAAAAGACCGAAATGGGCGATTTGAATCCAGAGTACCGCTATCTCTTGTAGACGGTGTGTGTAAACGTAATGGATAAAGAGTACGAAACAGAGGCGGTAAAGCGTTAATCTCACATATATAGATTACGCAAAAGAAGGCACGCAGTCTTGAGTCTGCTGACATAATTCTCTTTTTTAATTCCGCCATTGATCATCGTGACACTAGATCTGACAGGCTACCTGTGTTGCTCGGCGGAGCGACCTCAAGATACCACCCATTGCACGTCCCATTGCGCGTGGAGTAAATGTGTTTCCACGTTGTACTTTTTGTCGCTGTTGCCGATGACTTCCATCAGCCCTTCAGTCTGTTCATGTATCACCACCAAGCCTACAACCCATCAGTTGAGCACGTGGGTTCTGCTAGAGGCCTCCATAGAAGGCGTACATCTTCTCGATAAGACGAGGATGTGCGAGAGCGTGTGCTGCGTCTTTCTGGTTGATGGACACAGATCGGAAAGTCCACCTGAAATCACACTGCCCGTTTATGGGCATAGTGTTCGGGATAATTCCCGCTCAGGCTGCGCGTCGTTTCAAGTAACACTCGCAGTGTCCATACTGTCTTCACTCCCGTGTCCCCAGATCTCTTTGCTCTCGCTCTCAACCCCCCTCATTGCCTTTGCAACCTCTTCCAGTCTTACAACGACTTCTTGCACACCCTTGTTCACCTTCTCAAAGTATCGGTCGTTCTCTTCTCTCCTCTTCCGACTCAGCTCGATGTCCTTCTCTGTTTCCTCCTCCAGCTTGATCCGGTCGAACAGCTTCTCGCCTTTTCCTGACCCTGCGCCGTCATGAGGATGGTTCGCAAGACTCTGGGGTTGCAAGTCGTTCGCTTTGCTGTCCTGTGACTTCTTTTGTTGTTCGGGTGTCTGTTCGTCCTCTTCCGAGCGCGCCCATGCTTTCGCAAGTTCTATCTGCGCTTTTCGCAGCTCATCTAGTGCTCGAGAGTGTTCAGAGCCGAAGACAGTCATGCCTGGGCCCTTGATGGCGCTCAGCTCAACCTCCTCCAACGTGTTTTGCATCTCTGCCCATATCGCTTCTGCGCGTGACGATGCTTCGGCATCTGCGGCTTGGCTGTGCTGTCTTTGTCGCCGTTGGAAGGGCGCCGAGGGGTTCGTGGATGTGAGGCTGAGGTGGTCGCCATCGTTGGTGGTCGTGGGTGGAAGAGGTCGCTTGTTGTCTGGAGAAAGGAGTGAGCGCTGGCGGACTAGAGGCGCCCTTGCAGGCGTTCGGACTTCGTGCAGCGATGTGTTGGAGGCATTGTGTGACGGTGGCCCGACAAAGAGCGCAGGCGCAGGTAGGCGATTAGTTTGCGTCTTGGTGACTTTCTTGTCGTCTTTGGAAGTCATAGTAGTGCATGCGCTGGGCGCGTTATGAGGCTGAGTTCCCGTGACAGAAATGTGTGAGTGTTGCGATGGGCAATTGTACTAGTCACTACGAATCTTGAAGTCTGTTGGCTTGAGCTTACGTGCTGGTGTTCATTGATGTTCCCGAGGTCTCCCCAGACGCGATGACGATGGCCCGATAAGATAAGATGGCCGTGCTGCGCTAACCCCTTCCGGGCCAACGCCGCTAAGCTGTGGGGCTTGGCTCTGGCGCACACTGATTCCAGCCGCTCTCGAAAATACTTCGACGTCCGCGATACTAACCACACTTCCCCCAGCACACCCGTCGTCAATACCGCAACCATGGGTAAAGGTACGCAGCCACTCCCTCCAGAAGCCCCCGATCGACGCGAAATGCACAATTCCACGCCTTCGCCGTCCTGACACGGGCGTATATTGGGTAGTTGCTCACAACATCATCAGGAAAGCCAAGAGGTCTCAACGCCGCCCGCAAGCTCCGCAACCATCGCCGCGAGGGACGATGGGCCGATCTCCACTACAAGAAGCGTCTCCTCGGAACCGCCTACAAGTCGTCTCCCTTCGGTGGATCTTCCCACGCCAAGGGCATCGTTCTCGAGAAGGTCGGTGTTGAGGCCAAGCAGCCCAACTCCGCTATCCGAAAGTGTGTCCGTGTACAATTGATCAAGAACGGAAAGAAGGTCACCGCTTTCGGTATGTCACTATGCGGAGATTGAAGAGGCTTCGGCGACGAGCCTGTGGCAACAATGAGAGCGTGGGCTAATAATCTGCCAGTTCCCAACGACGGTTGCTTGAACTTCGTCGACGAGAACGACGAGGTCCTCCTTGCTGGTTTCGGTCGTAAGGGCAAGGCCAAGGGTGATATTCCCGGTGTGCGTTTCAAGGTCGTCAAGGTTTCCGGTGTCGGTCTGTCCGCACTGTGGAAGGAGAAGAAGGAGAAGCCCAGGTCATAGAGGACTCGTCTGCAAGGAGTCAAGGAAGGAAACGAACGTGGACCACAAGCCCGCCATGAACGAATGATGGAATCCGCGGATCACTATGGGGGGTTACCGGAGTCTTTACATCGGGGTTATCTGTGCTTCTACCCGGCATATGAAAAGTCATGATATGCTGGAGAGTTAGATAGAATCTGACTCGTTCAAGCGCCCACTCTGTATGCGTATGCCATGGAGTGATGTTGGGTGCGTTGACATGCCGTTGAGGACTTTGTAGTGAATGTGATGAACCCAATACATTTCAGGTTTATATTGTCCATGATTCATTCATCGAGAAATAACAGTATTGAACACAAACCGCCGTGTAGTAACAAACTCCGACCAATGCAACATAGGAAAGAAGCGCCGCCGGGTATCTCAAACAAAACGCCAACCACCTATGCAATCTTAGCAATCCTTGCGTGTGCAGTCCATCTTATTTCGTAAACATGGCATTAAACGTGTCCTCCAGTCCAGTGTCCTTCATAGTCCCATAGTATTCATACTTGAGCTTCGGGCTGGCGAAGAGCTCAGCATCCCTCTTGACGTTCTTCGGTACACCGAAGCCATCCAGACCCGGTATCTCTCCCGCACCTCCTTGCGCCTTCTGGTCTCCTTTGAAGAACTTGGGTGCGTTTTCCTTGAGGGGAGGCGCCCAGACACTCGGTTTCCAGGGGTTAGGTTTTTGGTTGGCGCCGAGCGAGGGTGGCGGCGGTGCAGGAACCCGGTGACGGAATGGATTCGGGTCTGGTTTGGAGAAAATCGAGTGGGGTTCTCTGAAACGAGGGGGTGTTGCTGGCTGACGAGATGTCGTCTTGGAGAAATGGTTGGGTATAATCTCTGGGGGTTGTGAAGAGAAACGACTTCCAGAATTCTTGGTGGGTGTCCAGTCCATGTCGTCTGCGCCCAAGAATGTAGATCGCTGGGCATAGGGTGTGGTGACGTCGGTAGCATGTGTGGTGAAGGAGGCTTCTGAGATGGTGGGGGACGGGGGAAGAGGGGAGGACTCCTTGCACTGATCCATGCCATTTGCAAAATCGGGCGCTATACTATCGAAAACGCTTGCTTGGGGATGAGCTGGGTGGTAAGAGCCTCTTCTTGCCTTCTGTGCGCTATCGGGTGCGCTGGGTACGGGTTCGCGAGCCGTTTTCAGAAAAGAGGGCGCGGCGCCGTAGACTATGCGAACAGCCTTCCATGTCATGATAGACGAGAAGGTCAATATTCCGAGCATACACATATGTGTGTACCGAAATAGCGTCAACGTGTCGTTGTTGATGGTGTGACCTTTCCAGTAGTAGAGGGTTAGGAAACGAAGAGCCACGGCAGTAATTCGAATCATCCATAGTGACATGAGCCCGCGCATCCTGCCCGTAAGGCTGTTCGTCTTGAGTTTCAGCTTGGGGTTCCACCAGATTGTGAGAGCATCGGCGATAATCGCAAAGTTCAGCCACTTGAGTATCACGGGCGAAAGTACACAGATTTCGTCCATCCAGCATCCCGACTTTGCCTGAGTCCAACAAGTATCCCAGCTGAAAACTTGGTACGCCCGTATACCCTCATCCGGGCCCATGTACAGTCCAGCAGCATGCCAGACAATTCCTATTGCTGTGCTCACGACATAGGTCCACTTCGCCAGCGAAATGAACCTCAATGTCCACGCTTGTCGGTGGGTATGTACGGTTGTGCGCTTCTGTTTACTTGCTTCCATGATACGCGCCAGGTTGTCTGCTCTGGCAATATGGTTCGCGTTCCGGATCTGGTGTTGGACTCGAGGCAGACATTCGCTACAGACCTGCGGGTACCGGGTCTCGAGCTCGTCCTTGTAGTCCTCGTACGCCGCTAAGAATTGCCCATATGTCGGATCATCCTCTTCCGGAAGATACTCGCCCAAGAGCTTTGCGTAGAGGGTCTGGTTGCGCTGACATGTGTCGCAGAAGATGTCGTCACCGGGTACGGACATGGCGGGTGTTGGGGAGCGGGAGCGCAGGTGTTGGAACGAGGCTTGAGGGGCGGTCGCGACTTCTTCGATGGGCGGATCGGTGATGTTTCCGCGCTGGGGAACAGGTCAGTTGGAGAGGTTCGGGTGTTTATGCGGCAGAGTAAGTACTTGGTCGAAGTGATTCACGGCGTCGCATTGCGGACAGTGAAATGTCTTGGGTATTTGTGAGACAGTGTCGCGTGACAGTGTATTGCAGTAATGGCAGCGCAGTCTGCGCCGTAATAGCGCCATGGTGGGAAGACACCTGAAGTGGGTGGTGATGGGTAGGGTTGATGCACCATGTCATGGGCGACGTGTTTTGGATTCTGCCGAGGCGGCCACACCGCCCGGGCGCCGGCGCGGAATTTTGGCTCACCAGGTCGAATGCACTGTTCACCACTTCTGGAGGGACGACTGCCGACAATCCATCGCCGTGGAAACAACACCGGCTCGAACCCTACGACACACCGTATCCGTCTGATCTCCCCGGTCGTATCCGCCACTACACCCCTCGCCGCCCGCCATTCGATGGCTCGGTAGTCCGCAAACCCTCGCATCTCTATCTCCACCGCCGCCATCCCGCCCACCATGAGCCAATTGATCGTCAGGCCGGGGCGCAACGCCGCCCGTCAGGCCAAAAAACTCAAAGAGATCCGTAAGGTCAAAAACGCAATCCAATGGCACGAGCGGGAACGCAAGAAGCGCCAGGGACTCAAACAGGACAAATGGGAAATCAAGCGAGCCATCCTTGCGCGTAAAGGGTGGGAACAAGAGCGCATCAAGGGTGTCAGGAAGCATGCTCTGGCCAATGCAAAAGAGGACTGGAAACTTGGTCCGTTGAGGCCAAATCGCGCCGTCGGCCCAGATGCTGAGAAATACGGTGCCCTCACCGGCGGCCAGGTGCAGAAGCCTGAGATACCTATCGAGGCGCAGAAGAGCCGGAACGCTTTTAGGGAAAAGAAAGGCCTCGAGCTCGAGTACCCGCTGGTCGTGGACGATAAGAAATACTTTCCAATTGTGAAGGGTGATCGTGTCGTAATTCTGAAAGGAAAAGAGGCGGGCAAGGTCGGTGTGGTACGAGAGACCATAGATCGATCACACGACGTCGTTATTAAGGGCATGAACTTGGTATTTCCCGCCTAGCTGTGTCATCAAATTTGAGTGTTAACATTTGCCAGCAATACTTCGACACTAGTCTATTTAGTAGTGCTGCCGAAGAGATGGGACCCAAGGTAGAGAACGAGGTGCCTATGCCCTTGAGCAATGTACGTCTCGTGGTACCTGCCGAGATAGGCCAGGGAGACCAGAAGCGTTACGAGGACGTCGTGGTCGAGAAGATCTACATGGAGCGGCATACCACCGGCATTGATCCATACACCGGTACTGACTACGGGAACGACACAATACCCGAAGCACACCAATACGATCCTCGAACTGGACTTCCCATCTTCCATCGATACATCGCAGGCACACGGCAACGACTGGAATGGCCATGGGAACGTGTGGAAGGAACTGAAGCTGTTGGTACCACAAAAGAAACAAGCAAAGACAAGAAAACATTACTCAAAAAAGCCCTGGCCAAGGTGAGCCAGCCATTCACGAGCTTGAGTCGTTGGCGGAGCAAGAATAAGGAGGACCAAGCTCAACAAGACGCAACGAATGGCAGGAGCCCAGTCGACCTCGAGGCAAAATTCGCCGAGATTCAAAGGCAAGAGCAGGAACGATTCAAGTCTGCTGCTCCAATAAGCATAGACCCTGAGCTTCCTTCGGCCTATGACGTGGACACAAGACGAAACATTGTCGAAGGTTCGCAGTCTATGGCTTATACGCTCGTTGCGCCACCTTTCCCCGACACGATTGCGGAAGAACTCCGTAGCGATATCCACGAGTTCTCCATCAAAGCGAAGAAAGACAGGGACCCCGAAGCACCGCGTCCTATCAAGGTTGCGCAACACTCCGAACAGGGTGTGGTCGCGCGAGAAATTGCAAAGCAAAAGCACAGAGCGGCGCAGGCAATGAAGACGCCCATGCAATTGAGGTGGGAGCTTGAGCATCAGAAGAAGGTGCAGAGCCAGAAGGAGAAGCCGCTGGTCGACCAGGAGAGCTTGCTGGCGGCATTGGGTCAGCACATGCAGAAGAGTGCTACGAAGCCGTATCTGGGCAAGAAGCAGATTCCCAGTCAAACAGCAGACCTCGACTAGGATGGCTGAGACGATGGCACGACAACGCATCACGCCTGTGACACGAGACTTGTAGCATACCTTTTGTATATATAGCATGGATTGAAGCCGAAAACTCAGCTAGGCTTTCTGTGGCCTGTGGGGTATCTTCGCTGTAAATGTACATCAAACGCCTGCATCATGCATACCACGATCTCTTGAACCTCTCCCATGAAATTGTCCCTAAGCTCATACCAGAATGCCCCAATATTCCGCTCGTCCTCCTGCGCCCTCCAACTCCTCCCACTGCACCAGGAAGCGATCCACGACCCTTAGCAGCAGTTTCCCGCTCAGACTGAGTGTCTTGACTCGTGCAAAACTCTCCACGTACACCGTCTTGCACTTTCCTCTACTATTCGCGCCCTTGATATTGAAGAAGCGCAGTATGAGGCTTGCGAGGATAAGAATCACAGCCGTGGCTGGGCCGTTGGTGATGATGAGATCTGGGAGGTCGGCGGCTGCGGCTTCGTATGGTGTTGTAGGAGCTTGACCGGCGAGAAGTGGTGGTGCGCGGAGGAGAGGCATGAAGGAAGATAGGAGGGTGTAAAGTGAGGTGAAAGGCGTTGTGAGGAGTGGTTGGTGTATCTTGCGCGCGCGAGGGATGACGGCGATATTGTAGTGGTCTGGGCCAGTGCATACTGGCCTCTCTGCCCTCTTCTCTTCTAGCGCATGTGTTGTTCCATCTGCATCTGTAATCTCCATCACTGGTCTTCTTCTTGTGCCGTCTGGTTGCACCACCTCTTTCTCCGATTCTTGCTTTCGCAGCCGCTCCTTCTCTCCAT